GTAAAGGCATAATCAACCCTTTACTCCACCAACGTTGCTTCAAACCAAGAGTGTAGAATCATAGCATCATGGTACAATTCCAAACTTCAATTTGGGTATTTTTTTAATCAGGTCTAGTTTCACGATTGTCCTTGAAACTAAGTTAGGAATAGAAGAATGTGTGATTTTCGGGCAGTTTTTTAGTTCTGATTATTTTCATAAACAGGTTTTCTGCTGCTCAAGTTTGAGTTGAAGAAATTTTCTGATATCTTGATGACTAAACAATGAGATAGTTTCACTTTGTTTTAATGGTTCATAATCTTGTGCATGGATGAATATTGTGATCGTGCATTTTGCCCCGTGTGTATATAGGAACATAGGAAAACGAGTGGATCATGTGATCCTTAAAGGTTTTCTTTGCCATTCAATTAGGTCTTGCCTAATTTGTGTCTGAACACCATTTACCTGCTTTTGATCCATATCCCTAGCATTACAGATTAACAAACAGTTATTGATCTCAAATTTGAAAGTTCAATCGACCCAGCATCCACAGCATTTTTGGGGAAATGAATGCCCCCTAATAACTTTGTTAGAATGGAAAAGATTTCATTTGAATGCCTAGCTCTAACTTTATAATTGGGCTTTCTTTTCCTGTATTTCCCAATTAGAAAAAACAGTTTCTCTGTATCACAAATCCTTTTTCATTTCACGTATATCACTTGCACCACTCTGTAACCTATAAACTAAAGGGAATATAAGCCAAATGTATGCAGTCTGGCCTTATAATATCACCCTTTAAGCCTTGGTATAATTCTGATGAATCCACATGATGCCCAATATGATCAATATATACCAAGCTAAATGGATTTTCTTTTTGAAGAAAGTAATAATAATTAAAGTCTGGAAACATAGCTGGCAGTACAGTAAACATTAAATTATAATTCTTCTTTGATGGTTGTAACAAGAATTTTTCTTTAAAAGTGCAGAATAAGAAAAGAATAACTGCTTTACTCACTGCTTCACCACTTGTTATTTTAATAAATGTATAATGCCAGCCTTTTTTAAAATCTCCCTCTTACCTTCTAATGTTTCTTCATTTTGAATAAGTAAACAGTTAATTTCTACTTTGAGTAATTCAACCATATCTAAATTACATCCAGTTCTGAACAGTACACTTTAGGAAGGATAATGAAGGCATTTGAGAGAGTGCAGTAAAGATACAGGAGAATGGATCCAAGGATGAAGAACTTCTGTTAAATAAATAGATTAGAGAAGATGGGGCTGTTCTCCTTGAAGAGAAGTCAAGATGTTAGAGATGTTAGAAACCATGAGGGGCCTAGAACAAGTAAATGGAGAGAAATGGATCTCATTGATGGAAACATCAAGAACAAGAAGGCACAGATTTAAGTTAGTTGGCAAAAGAAGCCACGGGTCATGAGGAAGAATGTTTTACACACAGAGTTTAAGAATGGAAATTCAATGCCTGAAAGTGTGGTGGAGGCTGGGTCAAAAGAGGCATTTAACAGAGAATTAGATAATTTATCCAAAGAAAAAATAAATTGCAGGGAAAAAGCAAGGGAAGTGACACTAGGTGAATTGCTCCTTCATAGCCAGCATGGACAATAATGAGTCAAATGGCCTCTCTCTCACTATAACCATGTACTATTCCACAATGCATTGTCATACATAGTAGTTTATTCCATAAATTAATCAAGGTTAACTGAAGTATGAGGCTGTTGTTTTAAGTCACATTTTGTCATTACAACATAAGCAGTGTACAGAAAGAGGCACTTCAGTCTAATAGGTCCATGCTGGTATTTCATGCAAACAATTACTTAGCCTCTTCTCATGTCTATTAGTTTATGGCATGGCAACACATTTTCATTAAATTCCAACAAATATGCTAATCTTGAGTAAATGTCTCATATATAGTAAAATGATCATCTCAAGAGCGATTAGCTACATACCTTTCAGACTCAATGGTATTATCATCATCAAGTATCACAGCATCAATCTACTGGGGTTCACCAATGACTAGAAATTTACTGGCCATATTAATTCAGTGAATTCTGGGCAGGCCAAAGGCTGTGTATTCTGCATCAAGTGGATTGTTTACTGATACTCAAAGTCACTTAACACCAACAATTCATAAATTAGATCTGTGATGGATTGCCCTCCATTTGCCTAAATGGCCACAGCATTGCTCAAGTGGTTCAGCAATGTCCAGAACAAAGCAACTGCCTGACTGGGACTAGTTTAAGTATCCATCTCCCACTCCTGCCAGATTACCATAGTACCATATGTGTACTTTCTATAGGGGACACTGCAACAATTTGCTAAGATATCATCATAGCATATGCCAATTCTTGACTTCCACCATATAGGACAATGGCAGCAGGTACTTGGGAATTTTAGTGCCTCCTTTTGCCCTTCCAAGGCACACACATTCCTGGCTTGGATATATACAGTAAACTCCCCCATTACCTGGGACCCAAGCATCCAGATTTCTCACACAATCAGCAAAAAATTCAAAGAAAATTTATCATTTTTATAGTGCGTTCAACATCAGTAATTACGAGTGGAAGAGGAGGAGGATGTTGGAGGACTGGCAGTACATCAGTCGCCATTTACACTGGAGGAAAAGGCACTATAAAGTGAGATGTGTTAATCTGGATGAAAAGGAGTCAGTGATCTGCCACCATCTGGTGTGCTTTTGCCTCAAGCAGGGTTTTCATATCTGCTGTGACAATACTATGATTGTTCCCATAACGTAGAAATAAGACATAGGTAATGTAGTGCTGAAAGATTAAACATGTTTATTATGGCTCCTGACATATAGATACTTAGATTCCAAGACGGCAGCAGAGTAGGGCTGCTAAATCTGAGCTCGACCACTGTGTTTCTTTCTTTTTTTGGTTTCTTTTCCTTTTTTTTTAGTTTTTTAAGTTTTATTTCCTCTCTACTTACCTTCTGAAGGGAGCCTGGTTGTGGATGCAGCAGCAGCAATGGCAGCTGCTTGGGGCCCAGAGCGGGGACTTTGGTGGTGGGTCACAAGGTGGTTGGTGTGCCCGGACAGAACTCTGGTGATGGGTGGCATCGTAGGAGCAGCTGAGGGCCTGATGCCACACCACAGTGGGACGCGGGCGGCCTGAGGCGAGGTGGCTGGTGGGCCTGGATGGTGGTTGGCAGCAAATGGCAGCGCTGAGATGTGAGATCAAGAGATTGAGCCCAGCTTGGGAGAGAGATCAAGCCCAGTATGGGAGGGGGATTGAGACCAGCACAGGGGAGGGATAGAGCCCTGGTGAGGAAAGCCCAGCCTGGAACACTGCAGGCCAATGGCTAAAGAAAGGCAGTAATTTGGAACTTTTAACTTTATTTCTTATTTACAACTTTATACTAACAAGAACTGTAAAATTGAACTTTTCACACATTTCTTAATTTTTTGACTTTTTACCTAAGATTTTGTACCTAGGCACTCTGTACGTAAGATGGAACTGTGAATGGCAACATTGTAAACTTTTCACTGGACTCCTGTTTCCCTGTACTTGAATAAAACCTAATTCTAAATCTAATTCTACTTAGTAGGGCATAGGGACTTCAATGTCTGAGTTAATGCTAAGTTAATTGGTTACAAAACAGTGGTACACTTCCATCAGTGTGCCATGCTTCAAGGGCCTTCAGTTAGAATGGAGTCTATCAAAAGCATATCTTAAAGGCATATTGCAAATGAGCTGTGAAACATATCATAAAAGTGAGCCGAAGGTACAAGCTGCTTAGATTCAGCTCAGGATTCATACAGCAATTTATATCTCTTCACTGCTTATAATAAATGATTGAATTTATGAAATGGTTGAAAATGAACAACTATACTTTGCTCTGGTGGAATTTAAGAGTCAAATCCATAAGAGACATTTGGAACCTAATTCTATCAATTGATCTCACCCTGGAAAACAGTCAAGAAATATTCATTCTGAAGGACTTAACTAATTTGAAGTTAACATTATGATTATAAGGCACAACAAAGATGGCTAGGTGCAAATGAAATAACAGAGGGAGCAGGAAGTTGCTGTTCAGAAAAGCCTAATGCCTCTGTCAAAGACAAGGTTTGATAAAAGTAATTCCTTTTGGATAAAGAGTTATGAATAATTTCTACACTATGAAAGCTAGCATGAGGGAGTCAGACTATACACCACTGTATTTCTGCTTGTTGCAAGAAGTGTAGGTGGGCTAGAATTTTATGAATGTGCTACCAAAATGAGGCAGAACATCGTTATGTTAGTTTGTTAGTTTAATGTTATCGTGTCTCCTGGTCTCTGTATCAGTAGATCACAAAATGCCACAGGCATTGATGAAACATCAGCGAAGGTCTGAATGTTAATGGGTTGAGTGTTCATCAGCATTGTAGATTTGGCATTAAAGTTTCTACAGTGAACAGATGTCATACCTCAGACTTCTAAAATCATTTTTCAATGGAAAGGATTTGAAATCATTACTAGGCTTCCATTAATATTTTAAGGTAACATGTATTCTCAAAAAATTTAAAAAAAGGCATCTGGACATAGTGATTAAAATGCTGAATGAAAGTTGTGCACTGATAGCTAAATAATAATCAATTTGCCAGATTGTTCTGAAATTCAAGATGATACACTGGTGAAATTTTGGGATTTTTATACTTTTTTTTTCAAAAAGGCTAAGAGTGATTGGATTGCTGTCTAAAGCCATTCCCCTGAATTAATTAAACAGAAATCTTGCAGAAAATTTGAATTGTGTGTAACTTAGATTTCTCAAGTTTGAATTTATTACTTTAACATATTCATTGTATTCCAACTTGTAGTGTAATACTAAATTTTGTTAATTGAGAAAGTTGAGACTTTATTCTTACTGAGGCCTCTAGAGTGCTTTAAACAAGTCATTTAATTTGAAACGGAATAAAGTCAGTTTTCTGTAAACTTCACTGTAATTTTACGAAAAACACTTTTTCTCACCTCTTTGGTGCCTTTTAAAGGATTAAAATTGCTTACCTGAGTTCCAGAGGTACTGTACCCATACATATGTACTGGCAGCAAAAAAAAGCCAGTGCAACGGTATGAAGATAAAACAGAATACATCTGAGGTAAATGCTGCACATACAAAAAGTATGGAAAAAGCCTGTGAAGGAAAACATAAATATTATATTAGCACAGCCTGGCCCTAAGAATAGACAGTCATTCCAGCATGACTTGCCATGCATCTGATAGGTATCCCAGATGAAGGCCTGGTCCACCACAAACCCACAAGACCCACCAACATCCAATTAGGCAAGCAATGCCAACTAATTGATATGTGTGGAATAGTCAGTGTCCAGATAAAATTTTAAGGACACAGGGCATTGCAAATACTCAGCATTAAATGATGTATCCCTTTCGATCAAATTTGCACCAGGGATCTAATTTGGAAAATTCAGAAAATTGGTCCAAATGTGGTAAATCAAAAAGTAGACTCAAGGCCAAAGTGAAAAGATATTAATATGGGAAATGATGAACAGACTGTGAAAAGATGGGATAGAAAGTATGAAGCTAAGAATCCACCAATAGATATGATGAAAATTTACAAAGAGAGCCAAAGAATAAAACTAAATGCTATGAATGCATGTAGCATATGAAACAATGCAGATGAAATGGGAATATAAATAGAAATAGAAGTATGCCCTAAAAGTCAGTATAATGATGTGGCTGTGGAATAACATAGATTGTGACCTGAATCTTGAAGTGTACAGGACTCTTAGGAATGCAATGAAAAGTAGGAAAGGGTGCTGTGGTGACTCTATTAGTTAACAATGATATTTTTCAACAGAGGAGAATGACCTAATTTCAGGAAATCAAGACATGGCTACAGTTTGGGTAGAAATAAAACAAAATTATAAAGGCAAGAAGTTACTTGAGGGAGTTGTGCATAGTTCCCCTAACAGTAATCATACAGTAGGGTAGGGATAAAAGAAGAAATAATGAGAGCTTCTCAGAAAGGCATGGTGATGATCATGGGGAAATTTTCAGCTCCATGTCTACTAGAAAAATCAAAGGAGAAAGATAAGTTCAATGAGGAATTGATAGAATGTTTTCAGGATAGTTTCTTAGAAAAATGTGTTCTGGAGCTGAGCAGAGAGCAGACAACCTAGACCTGATATTGTGCAATGAGAGTAGATTAATTAATGATCTCAGAGTGAAGGTACCCCTCAGTAACACTTACCATAATATGGTTGAATTTTACATTCAGTTTGAGGGAGAGAGGAGTGAGTGTGTAACTATGTTTTTTTTTTACATTTAACTATGAGCAAATATGAGGGCCTGAAAGCTGAGCAGGATAAAGTGAATTAGCAGATTAGGTTAAAGGATAGGTCAATAGAGATACAGTGGAAAATATTTATGGGGATATTTCAGAATATTCAGATCAGTTGCATTCCAGTAAGTATGAAAAATATCCAACAGTTGGTCCCACCATCTATGATAATGTAGACAATTTTAAAATGTGGAAAAACCAGCTAGAAATGTTTTAAAAAGTTAATAAGAATTCCTCTAAATATTTAAAGAAAATGGGTGAAAAAATTAGTATTAGTCCATTAGAAAGTGAGACTGAAGAAATGATAATAGAAAATAAGAAAATAGCAGATAAATTGAACAGGCATTTTGCAACAGTCTTCACTACACAGGATACAAAAAGCATTCTGGAAGCAGCGATGAATCAGGAAGTAGAAGAGAGTGAGGAACTTATGAAAATCATAGTCACCAGTGAAGTGCTACTGAGCAAATTACTGAGGTTGCAAGCTGATAAGTGCCTAGCGCCTGTTGGACCTCATCCTAGTGTCTTAAAAGAAGTGACTAGTGAGAGTTGATGCATTGGTTTTAATTTTTCAAAACTCCCTTGATTTGGGATAGTCCCATGAGATTGGAAGATGGTGAACGTAAAATGGGAGGGAGACAGAAAGGAGGAAAGTTCAGGCCAGTTAACTTAACATTTGTTATGGGGAAAATGTTAGAAGCTACTGATAAATAAGTTATTGTAGAGCATTTGGATAAGTTCAAGGTAATCAGGCAGATTCAACATGGCTTTGTCAAAGGGAAATCATATTTGCCGAATGTATTGAAGTTCTTTGAAGAGGTGGCATGTACTTTGGATAAAGGGGAATCAAAGGGAAGCTTCTTCATTTACTTATACTTTCCAGAAGGCATTTGCTAATGCGTCTCATCAAAGGTTACTGCAGAAAATAAAATCACATGGTGTAGTGGGTAGATTATTTTATTCACTTGTAGGATATGGGTGTCACTGGCTGGCCAGTGTTTATTGCCCATCCTTAGTTGCCCTTGAGAAGATGATGGTTAGTTGCCTTCTTGAGCCACTGCAGTCCTCCTGCTGTAGGTAGGCCCACGTAGGGAGAGAATTCCAGGATTTTGACCCAATAACAGTGATGGAACAACAGTATATTTCCAAGCCAGGATGGTTAGTGGCTTGGAGGGGAATTGGTAAGCCCTTTTAACAGCTGGTTCTAATGATACTTCATACCTCTATTGTCCAATAATCTTGCATGGGCCCAATGGTGTGTATTTTAATGCATTAAAACCGCATTTGGATCCTATTGGCATGATTAATTTTCATGCGTAAATGAGACTCCTGCTGATATTGTGAAAACCATGGGCAAAATTGTGGCACAAAGGAATTCTGAAATTGACAAAACTTTGGCAATAATTCAACAATCGATGTATTTCAAAGATAATATAGGAAAACGTTCACATGCCATAATAATAACGAGCTTTGAAAGGAAACCATTGAGAGGGGTCAAGTGCTCTTTGAGGCTATTAAAAATAGGAATGAATGTGCATATAAGGTGCAGACATTTAATGCAGCTGTAAATCCCATGAAGATTGTCAAAAACAATGTCAAAAGTATCAAAAGAGGAACACTCTAGAGAGATATCATGTTATCAAAGCATTAAGCACTCCCGCCCTTCAAATCTTTGAAAGAAATTTCTGGACTGTTATAAAATATACCTTGCTATTTAACTCAGTCTGTTGACATAAGCTTTAGGGATACCATTACTAGATAAGTGTTGGTATGTCTGATTTTACAAATTACTTTAACCACGTAGGGTTTCTACCATTTCACGGTTTGATTAATAGCTCCAAGCAATCACAGATTCTTTGAATTGGGTCTATCAATTCTAAAGCTTATTGTTACGAGAGATTTTGCACTTCGGTGAAATGTTTGTTATTATGAGGGATTATACTGCTGAAGGCATGTAATTGTAGTGAGTTGGCACACGTAATAGGCCATGCGGTGTCACGGTCTTTCTCTCAGAAAACCCTGCCACACTGGAATGAAAATCCCAATCTCCAGGGCACTTATTTCCCAGATCAGGCTTACAGACCCAGGAATTATCCCAACTCTGCACTCCAGACCAGGAAGCAATGGTTCAAGGCTACCTATTAAGAAAAATGTAGGAAGTGGAAACCTTTTACAGATAAGTCAAAACCAATTGGTCCAATGTATCCATTTTTTTGTACAGCAATTCAACTATCCCTTCTTTCTACCTGTTAATTAATGATGTGCATAAAGAAAATTGAGTCACTACTGAAGGGCCACTAACTAAAGAGATACAGTTGTATTGTATTTAAAATAGTTTTGATATTAGCTACTGTAATCATGAGCAGTAGTTTGTTGACCAGTATCACAATAGCACATCATGCAGTTTGAAGCTCTAAGCATCAATTTTGCCACTTAGTTTTAAAATAAATATTCAACTCTAAACATAGATATGCTATCTGTTTAGACTCTACATTCAATACACAAATGCCTAAACATGAATTATACTTACAAGGCCCTGATATCGTGAAGAATTATAAACCCTCTTGATAAATAGCCAACCTGGCCATAAATATTCAAATCGGAGCTCAAGGATGAAATCTGCCAAAAGTATCAGTATCCAGACGATAAGGAACTTCAGAAACGTAAACACACTATAAAATCACAAAATAATTCATTATTCATCAAATGTCAAAGTACGTTCACTACTCTTGTACACCATATAAAACAATGCACTCAATGACAATAACAGGAACCAAATTTTGTTGTGTGTCTATTGAATTCTGGACATGTCTAATTCAAAGATTATTTGGGAATGATCTGATGTGGTTTTCGGGGCAGTGAAGGTGGGGTCTGTTGGGGACCTATAATCGGCGATTTTAAATCATGTTATCAAAGCAATGAGAATTCTTGAGGAGATAAGGGCTGGTTTTTCCTGCGTCCTGCTGCTTGTAACATGAAAGCAGAAATGGAAGCAGGGCTGGTGGTGTGAGGTTACCGAACATATTCTGGCCAGTCGCAACTCAATATACCAATATGCTAGACACTTACAAGTGCTGAACAAAAACAGAAGTTGCTGGAAAAGCTCAGCAGGCCTGGCAGTATCTGTGAAGAAAATTCAGAGTTAATGTTTCGGGTTGAGTGACCCTTCTTCAGAACATTGATTTAGAGGATCTGCAGTTCTTTTGGATTTTACATACAAGGGCTGATTTGAGTTTCAAACTTAATTCAGAAGTCATTCCTTTCTCATTAGTTATAAACCAAAAATGTAATTATTCCATTTACATCTTTCTACAAATTTACCAGACTCAGAACCTAACAGAAAACAAACAACTTTGAAAATAAGACTTAGAACTGAATTTAACATTTGGTGAACAATAATGTCAAGAGTAATGTAGCTTTCTGGTTTAAGAAGGCACTCAACAGAAGTGAGGGACTTTTTGAAAGCATGAAGTGAATTTTCCGAAGAGGGAAGTTTTATTTATCGAAAACGTAGGGTTAACGATCACCATTCTTTCTCTAATTGCAAGAATTAAACATTGCAGGACATAATATATTTAGAAAAGACAAAAAGGGAGAAAGTGGTAGAGGAGTAGTCTTACTCATTGGGTATAACATAGTGACAATGGAAAAAAGCAGACATATCCATCAGCAAGACAAAAATAGAAACCATATAAATACAAATAAACAGTAATAAAGGATAATAAAAGATAAATAATATCACACTAGGAGGTGTAGTCTACAGATAACCTAATAGTGGAAGGGAGGTACAGGAAGAAAAATACAAGCAAATTTGACATTGTATATAAACATAGAATAACCAACTAATGTCAGCTTCAACTACCCCAACATTAATTGGACAGAATAAGTAGGTAAAGTGGATAAACAAATGCAGTTCCTATACCATGTAGAGGGCCGCTTTCCAACTCAAAATGTAAAAAACCTGATAGAGGAAGATTAAGCATTGAATCTAGTAATGAAGAGTGCACCAAAACAGATAAGAGACATCAAAATAGAAATAAAATTCATCTATGTGATAGTGACCGTAAAATATTATAATTTAAGATGATACTAGAGAAGAAAATAAATATGATGACATCCAAGTTAGTAGCTTGGAGAAAAGCTGATTTAAAGAGATCATAGAGAGACTGAGAATAGAATTTGGGAAAATAAAATGGGCAACAATATTGACAAAAACAGTGCAAAACATTTAACATCACGATCAACAGAGTGCAGGAAGATATTTTCTGCTAAAAGGTAAGAAACAAACTAAACACTTGACAGACTCATGCATGAATAACTATTTCAGGGAACCAATGAGGGTTAGGAAAGAGACCTACATTAAATACATAGACAGCAGACAAGTGGATGTCAGTTTGAATATGAAAAGGTGATAAATCAAAAGAAAAAAATTAGCAAGACAAAGAGGAATGAAAAGAGTAAATTATCAACGAACATTAAACAAAATTTCACAATCCCATTGTGATTAAATCTTTGGTTTTGCAGCCCCAGTGGGGAAGTATGTACAGTATTGAATGTTTTGTTGGATGTATTAACTTTCTCAATTTATTTTAAGATTGTCTCTAACTGTAAGAGAAATAAAACTGAGGATTGTAATATAATCTGAAGGTAGACTCCCCACATACCAAAGTCAGGGATGAACTAAACTCACCTTATTTTCATTTATCAACTAACAGGCTTTAATTTCTTGTGCTCCTTGGGCTGTTGGTCAGTTGGAGGTGGGCAGCTCTGCAGTACTGACAGCATAGCCAGGAGTAGTGACCACCTCTGGTAGTGTACCGAAAACTTTGAAGAGGTGTTCAGGAATGGACTGGACCTCTACGTAAGTCTGGGACCACTCCAGGTGCTGCTATTACAATGTAGACACTATTGGCAAGGCAAGCAATTGTTGCCAATTCTTAATTACAGCTGAACTAAATGAGTTGCTAAGTCATTTCAGAGTCAAGCACATTGTTGTGGGTCAGAAGGCAGATAGAGTCATAGAATCATACAGTACAGAAGCGGCTCTTTGGCCCATCAAATCTGTACTGCCAAAATATACTGCTACCCACATTCATCCCACTTTCCTACACTAAACCCATTGTCTTGAATGTTATGACACTTTAAGTACTTATCCGAATATTTTTGAAAGGTTCCAGCCTCAACTATCTCTGCAGGTAATGCGTTCCGGATGCTTATCACCCTCTGGGTGAAAACATTTATCTTCAAAAGCCCAACTTTTCAATTTAAAATTATGCCCCTTGTTACTACCTCTTCAACTAAGGGGAACTGCTGCTTTCTATAAACCCTGTTACATACCCATTATAATCATATACACCTCTATACTGCAATGAAATCCAGAAAATGGCATTACTAGGTGGTGAGAGGGACAAAGGGATCTCAAAGTACAAATACATTAATCCATAACATTTGGACAACAAGTCGGCAAGACCATACAAAAATCAAACCAAGCACTAAGCATTTTTTTAGAAGGAGAGAATTAAAAAGTAAGGAATTTATGCTAAATCTGTAAACAGTGTTGATTAGACCATACTTAGAATGAAATGTGCAATTCTGGCTGCATGTTATAAAAAGGGTGAAGAGAGTACAGAGAAGATTTACAAGGATGATATCAGAAGTGAGTATATATATATATATATATATATTATGTCAGGAAAGGATGAACAACCTGGATCTCCTTTCTCTTGAAAAAGGAGTAGAATGCCCTAATAGCTGTTTTAAAATTATGAAAAGTTTTGATAGAATGAATACAAAAGAGTGACTCCCCCTGTAGAGAACAGAATAACCAGTGACAGCTGATATAGGATAGTCATCAAGAAATGCAATAGGGATTTCAGAAAAACCATCTTTACCCAAAGAGGGTGAGAATGTACACTTTACTACTGCAGGGAGTGGTAGGAGTCAATAGTGCAGGTGCACTTAAGAGGAAGCTGGACAAGCATTTGAGGGAGAAGGGAATAGGGGATTGTGATGATAGATTTAAATGAGGAAAGTTGGGAAGAGGCCCAAATGAAGCATATATGTCGGCATGGGTTGACTGGCCTGAATGGCCTGTTGCTGTACTGTATGTCCCATATGTTTAACCTATTCCATTCCCAATATTGCTTAAGCATCCTTTTAAAACAAAGGGGAATGAAGTTCTTTCGCCATTTTCATCAATATCACCCTCAGCTTCTAGAAGCACCCACCAATATCAAATGGAAGCTGAATTTTCCATTTCAGTGTAAAGCCAATAAAATGATTGGCTCTGTGTTAACACTAAAATTTTCAAAATTATATGTGTTGAAACCATGCTGAGTAATATTGCTGGACGGGTCATTAGGTGTCTGCATGAAATTCTCCTCTCTGCTATTTTCACAAAAGGCATTAAAGCTAAACGCTTTGTTTGAATAGCAAAGGTATATTCAAATGAAAATGCTTGCTGCTGCAGTAGAATTTCAATCGAAAATTGCAGGATTTCAATTTACAGATTAAACAGTTCAAATAGCTGGACTCCATTCTGGCACAATTTTAAAGTTTGCTTTGTATTGGCTAAAATTGGAACTTTTGTAAAATTAGTGCCTTTTCACAATGTCTTCCATTTACTCAAATTCAGGTTGAATACATCAGGTTCTATGCTGATCGCATGCAAAATATATATTTAACTCACACAGTCAATAACTGGGAGGCACATTAATGTCTAATTCTATGGAGATATGACATTTTTTAGTTCCCTTTCTGCACACAATGTAGACCTCAGTGGAATGCACCAAGATAGAAACCTGTTATGATCAATCTGTCAAACCTGACATAGCTAATCTATGTCTCTGGTTGTACAGTTATTATACTGCATCTTAAGTCAAATTAGAAATACAAATGCAAATAATCTACCGTGTGAAAAGATTCAGTGCACAGAAAAGTTTACAGTTAGTTGTTATGTGTGTATTCTTGATGTACAGCTTCTTAGGATATCAGTATTTTGTCACTCTGATTTGATCATTAGATTAGGTAATTTGACTATGGAAAACTGAATATGCCTCAGGTATGTGTGTTTGAGGTAATAAATGGCTCACCAATTACTGAACAAATGATGAAGAAATGAGGTAGTAGTTAATGGAGCTGATGTGTCTCTCATCCATTGACTGGGGAGCTGGTGAGAACTCCACGTCGCCTGCTTTCAGAAAGGCTTGCGGAATCTAAGTGCCAATCAAGGTGGTGGCTGTTTAGAGAAATGCGTTTGTACAAAGTGTACTTGCTTTTCCTGTAATGAGGCATTGAGTACAATGGGAGTGATACAAGTGGTCATATATGACCAGGAAAGGTGGTGAGGTGTCATCAGTGAGTGGGTAGGAAGTACAGTTGGTAGGAAGTGTTAGCAGTAGAGGTGGGTGAGAACTCCTGAGAGGACATGATGCACAATACAGTGAAACCTGTAGTCCATGAGTCTTGGTAAGAGGTGTGTGCAGTGGCAGAATCAAAGTGAGTGGTCACCATGTGATTGTGAAGTAGCGAGAGGAAAAAGGTGGCACTTAAAAAGCACAGAAGATCATTTACCTTACTCCTGCAACACTGAGCATTCCTTTTAACTTGGAATACAGCACTGCCCTGGGCTACTATCTAGGTCTAGGCCAGCTATGTCTGGAGGCATAGGCTC